GAACAGATCTTTGGGGCACTCCACTAGAAACCATCCGCCAACCTGACTGAGCCGTTGATGACTACCCATTGGATCCAACAGTCTAGCCAGCTTTCTATCCATCTTACAGTCCACTTATCCAATCCATAGTCCCTTAACTTGCTGGCAAGAATATTGTGGGAGACCCTATCAAAAGCTTTGCTAAAGTCAAGGCATGTCACATCCACTGACTTTCCCATATCCACAGAGCCAGTTACCTCATCATAGAAGCTAATCAGATTGGTCAGGCAGAACTTGCCCTTCTTGAATCCATGTTGACTATTCCTGATCCCTTTCCCCTCTTCCAAGTGCTTCAAAATGGATTCCTTGAGGATCCCCTCCATGATTTTTCCAGGGACTGAGGTAAGGCTGACCGGTCAGTAGTTCCCTGGATTATCCTTCTTCCCTTTTTTAAAGATGGGCACTACATTTGCCTTTTTGAAATCATCCAGGATCTCTCCCGATCTTCAAAGATAATGGCCAAAGTCTCCGCAATGACATTTGCCAACTCCCTCAGTACCCTCAGATGCATTAAATCTGGGGCCGTGGATTTGTGTATGTTTAGCTTTTCTAAATAGTTCCTAACTTGTTCTTTCCCCACCAAGGGCTGTCCACCTCCTTCCCATACTGCGTTGCCTAGTGCATTTGTCGGGGAGCTGTCCTTGTCCGTGAAGACAGAGGCAAAGAAAGCATTGAGTATTTCAGCTTTTCCCACATCATCTATCACTAGGTTACCTCCCTCATCCAGTAAGGGCCCCACGCCTTCTCTGATTACCCTCTTATTGCTAACATGCCTGTAGAAACCTGTCTTGTTGCCCTTCACATCCCTGGTTAAGAAAGTTCCAACCTGTAGTTTCTATTTTTAAAGATGTTTCACTCTATCTGGGCTGTGTAGTTGTGGCAATCAGTAATTTATTTGACCACTGGCCCTCTACATTGGCATCCCTTTCCGGAAAAGGGATGTTAATGAGACACTTCGGAATTGCAAATCCGCGGGGGATTTAAATATCCCCCGCGGCATTTGCATTTACATGGCTGCCGCTTTTTTCCGGCTCGGGGTTTTTGCCGGAGAAAAGCGCCAGTGTAGACGCGATTCTCCGAAAAATAAGCCCTTTTCCGGAGGATCCCTTATTCAAGGATATTTCCTACTTGAATAAGGGATCCTCCGGAAAAGGGCTTATTTTTCGGAGAATCGCGTCTACACTGGCGCTTTTCTCCGGCAAAAACCCCGAGCCGGAAAAAAGCGGCAGCCATGTAAATGCAAATGCCGCGGGGGATATTTGCAATTCCGAAGTGTCTCATTAGCATCCCTTTTCCGGAAAGGGATGCCAATGTAGACACAGCCACTGTGTGTGCAATGTCCTGCCCCACAGAAACTGCACAGACACTACTGATTTTGAATTCACAGTGCCACTTATTTGAGTCCTCTCCACAAACACTATTTAATCCCCATACAACAGTCTATTTAAAATAGCCTCTGTGCTTTTGACCCTCACATCAGGATCTGTGATAAGTAGAGATCTCTCTTCCCTGAGGTTTCTGTGGGTACGTCTACACTTGCTCCCTAGTTCGGACTAGGGATGCAAATGCAGACAAGTGAAGTAGCTAATGAAGCTGGTATTTAAATATCCCGCGCTCCGTTAGCATGATCTCGCTGGTGCACTAGTTCGAATCACAGCTGATTCGAACCAGGAAGTGCGCACCGGGACGCGTTAGTTCGAACCAAAGCCCTTGGTTCGAACTAACATTACTCCTAATTTTTTAACGTTACTCAAAAAAATGAGGAGTAATGTTAGTTTGAACCAAGGGCTTTGGTTCGAACTAACGCGTCCCGGTGCGCACTTCCTGGTTCGAATCAGCTGTGATTCGAACTAGTGCACCAGCGAGATCATGCTAACGGAGCGCGGGATATTTAAATACCAGCTTCATTAGCTACTTCACTTGTCTGCATTTGCATCCCTAGTCCGAACTAGGGAGCAAGTGTAGATGTACCCATATATGAGATCAGCTAGACCTGTTCCTCTCACCCAGAACTGCCTTCTCATGTCTCTTTACTGAGGGACTGGCCTAACTGGCTCTGTCTCACCCTGCTTTCAAACCTATATAACTACTTCAGTCTGCTGGCAGAGGAGAGAGAGTGAGGGTTGGAGGAGAAAGGCATGGACAAAGGAGAGAGAGCCTGCCAGGGATCTAGGGCTGCTCAAATGGCTGTAATTAGCTGGTATGTATTAGAACTTTACTCCAGCTGCTCTAATGAGAATTGGAGGCTAACTCAGGCCTCAGTGGCTCTTGGAGTGAGATGTGGGGTGCAGAAAGGTACATCTATTTCTCCTCTACCTCCCTTAATTGTGCCAAGCAGAGCTAGTGCAATTGAAAATCCTTAAATCAAAGTTTAATGAAATTCACGATGAGGGGCCAAATTATTCAGTAGCGTAACAACACAAAATCAATGGAATTACATTTAAGATTACTTGTTTCAGTGTTTGTGACATCATTTTATCAGGTTAAGTTAGTGTTTGTGGAAGGAGATGGCCTGAAAGCACAGTGCTGGCCCTTTATCCACGGAGTGGAGATTACAAGTGTAGGTTGCCTCACTCTACCTTGTCTCCACAATAACCCAATCCTTGGCCTTGGCTAAGGCTGCCAATTTGTGCTAATTTTGATGGTGACATTTGTAGTGTGGCACCTATCCACTAGGAACTGGACTGAGGCCAGCAACTTATTTTACTTTGATCACCTACTGGCATTCTGATAGTAAGATTTCATCTTTCAGTCACAGTTGACTGGTGTCAGATTTTAATTAGTGATCTAAGGCCTGATTTTGCTGTTTGCACTCACTACTCTGGAAAAACTCCTTTTGCTTTCAGGGTGTTTTGCCTAAACAAGGTCTGCAAGGTTCAAGCCTCTGCAGACTGAAAGTGCCAGTATCAAGATGCAGGCAAAAAGGCATCTAAGTTCAAATTTGCTATACTTAATTTCCTGGGTATTGATCGTTTGTTTGTTTATTGAGAATCAGTGCATAGAGAATAATGTCTTCACAGCACAATTGTTTGCAGAGTATAGTTTCTTTTTAAAAGTTCTCTTTTTCATTTGAACCACTCCTTGGACAGACAGGTGGGAGTTTCTGGTGATAGTGTTTACAATGTGTGTTAGGACAATCAGAGTTAAAGTCTAAGATGTGGTGCCTGTATAACTGAATTGCATTCTTGCTTCTCCTACAGACTTGCTATGTGGACCTAGGCAAGTTATTTAACATTCTTTACCTGTTATCTCATCTGCAAAGTTGTTATACCAGTGCTAATTTCCCTTGCTGAGTGTTGTGAGGCTTAATTTATTGATATTTGTAAAATGATCTTAGATCCTTGGATAGAATGTGCTAGAAAGCATGTGAGCCATTTATATACATGAATGTGTGCACACCTGCATACTCATTAAATTATCAAATTTATAAAGCTAAATGTTACATATAGTACAATGATTGTGCAATTATCATTGTACAGCTATACATCACAAACTATATTGCTCCCACAGCCTTCAAAACAATAGCAAATAATACATATTTCACACACAAATGTCTGTAGACTGTATAGTTCTGTGGCACTTATAGGTCAGCTAAGAAGTATTTCTCTTTAGCACACATCACAAACAACTCAGCTCAAGCTGCAAATAAATCTAATCCAGTGGTTCTCAAGCTGTGGGCTGAGACAAGGAAGTAGGGTCACAACCCTTAATGGGGTCACCAGAGCTGGCTCACACTATCCGGGGGCTCCAGCCAGGCCAAAAGACCAAGCCTCACTGCCTGCGACCCAAGCCAAACTCCAAGGTCTTCAGACTCAAGTTACAGGCCCTCTGCCTGAGCTGAAGAACTTGGGCTTCTGCTTTGGTCCCTGCACTGGGAAAGGCTTGGCTCTGCCACCTAGGGCAGCTGGGCTCAGGCTTCAGTCTCCACCCTCGGGGGTCCTGCAATAATTGTTATTGTCAAAAGGCGGTCTGGTGCCATGAAGTTTGAGAGCGCCTGATCTAAACAAAGGCCTCTTCCCCGGCCCACACGGCTCAGCAGATCTGAGGAAGTGGGTCTGGCCCACGAAAGCTCATCATCTAATAAACCATCTTGTTAGTCTTTAAAGTGCTACATTGTCCTGCATTTTGCTTCAGATCCACCCTGTGCTTTTCGGTTGTCACAGCACCAATGCACATGGGGATTGGGGCGCCCTTCCTGGGGCTCCCAGCCAGAGCCCTTCACCCCTCTGAAACCAGCCAGAGCTAAGGGATCTGGTTGGGCCCGAGCGCGGCCCCGGCCCATCTGCCTGCTGAGTGCAGCAGGGCTGGCTACATTGTCCTGCATTTTGCTTCAGATCCACCCTGTGCTTTTCGGTTGTCACAGCACCAATGCACATGGGGATTGGGGCGCCCTTCCTGGGGCTCCCAGCCAGAGCCCTTCACCCCTCTGAAACCAGCCAGAGCTAAGGGATCTGGTTGGGCCCGAGCGCGGCCCCGGCCCATCTGCCTGCTGAGTGCAGCAGGGCTGG